TGAGTGCCAGCCAATTGTTTCGTAGATTAGATGGACGGCTGAAAAAAGAAACTCAGGCAACTGTAGGATCTATATGTCTTGATGACTTTTGGATGGTTTCACTTATTATATCTCATTTTGAAGGATCATTTGCCAGAGGAGCTTTCTTGTTCTATCACGTCACCGAGCCGAGCCTTCCAAGGTTGCCTAAGAAGATGTCCGAACACATCGGCGCGGGCCACCTGTGTCCACCCGTAGACAGCGGTGAATTGGTTGAAGTATGTTGAAGTTGTTTTTCGCGATCTCAACATGATTCCTGGATAGCAACAAGCTCAGGAAGTGAGTTGTTTAATGTAGTTTATGCTCAGCTTCTCGGAATTTGCCACAATCAGCTCGCCGAGCTCTTGACTTGAGCGTGAAGTCAAACAAGACAAAGGGTTCTATATAAATGGTTTTCACTTCAATTAACCATAGTAACAAACCAGTTGAAATGTTGAAACCATTCAATTAAACTATATATGTGAACATTGTCAATTAACTGGTACACCTCAAATCATCGTAACCATATGCAACCGTTCTGCGCCCTCCTCCTGGTCTTTGGCTCAGGCATGGTCACAATACTACGTATACATACGTATACTCTAGATGTCATGCATTGTGGGCTTGCATTGTGGGGCTTCTTGCTGGCAAAACCAATCCACCGGTTATCCAAACCACCACTGCTTCTCCCACTCGTCCCCTCCGGACACATGTGGTGCCAGGGCCCCGCCGGGTTCCGTCCAAGGCGGTGAGTCGAACGCACCGTACACCCGTGACGGGGCCCAGTCGCTGACGCAAAAGGCTTTGCTTTCACTGGAGGGATCGGGGGGGGGGATGGGCATGAAAGGACGAGGATCAAGAGTTTCAAAGACTTGGAGATGTTGCACTCGTAGTTGGCCTCTTGCCAGAGGGATCTTGCACGGATTTGGCTTGCTTATGCATAATTACGCCGAATTGGCTTGACTCACATCCTCACCAGGAATAATCCAACAAAGGTAGCTGACTGCTTTGTGTTTCTGAGAGTTCCATTGAGTTTTGTTCTGTCGTTTCCGGCAGATTCTGCACATCAGCCAATCCTGTGGTGACTCCTCTTATCTCTTTTTCATCCCTAGGCATGTGAGAAAGCAAATACCAGGCGCTGCTGTATCTCTTCACTCGTTTGCGTCGGGCGAGGTTCTTTTTGGCTTTCAGGCGTCGGGAGAGAACAAAAAATACGGGCCAGGGTATTTATAGCTACACCAAGTGTTGATACGAGGGCATTTGAACTCTTTCCATTTGAAGATACCAGCGTCCCTGGTGTTCTTCCCACACGGAGACGCTGGGTCCGAGCGTTCCGTCCGTCCGTCGACTCGCCCCAGACCGAAGCGTGCCCTGTCCTGCAGCGAAGAGTGCGACCGAATGCGAGACGTTGAACACCATTTAATAAAATAAATTATAGGGGATGATAAGTATAGGGGATTATAAATGTTATCATGCACTTTAAATGAAGTATAGGGGATGATAATAGGAGTATAGAGCCTCTGTAGAAGTTGATTCGACGCTGCCTTGGTCTATTTGGGGACCTGATCCGCGGTGCGAGGCTATTTACTTCCAGCTATGTTGCACAACTGTTCAGCAGGAGAAGTCCGCTGCAGAAGCTGCGTCAGCAGGCATGAGCTGTTGACAGAGCTGGCTTTGGTCCCTGTAGGATGAAACGGCAGAGACCTGTGCAAGAAGAGAAGTACTCTCCCCAAATCAAACGTAACCCCCTAAAGTGGATTTTATGTTTTTTTTGGCAACGTTAGTCGACAGATGCTGAAAGGGCACAAGTGGTGTTTGTGAGGAGGATATGTGAGCAAGATTCTGCAGGGATAAGTATTCCAAAAAGTGTTAGTGGATGTGGGGGACATTGACAAGTTTCATGACTCTGAACTGGGACGAGGATATGTTAGCAACTAGGAGACGCATGGAAAAAAGGTTCCATGACCCATGCCCTGAACGTGGTATCGGTGAGGAGGACATGTTAGCAACAGTCTGCAGGGGAACATGTGTGCAAATCCTCCAACACCTGTTCACATGCACCAGGAGCATGGCTATCATGAGTCTCATTCACTGTATTCATTTGGGGGTGGCCCTGATACTCTGTTTCGGCGCGTGCAAAGACTCACATAGCCCTCCAACAGTTGCATTGATTCTTCTGGAATGGCACAATTCCTAGTCGCAAGGACTAACATAGCCCCCTAAAATGGTCATGTGGTTGACCAAAATTGCAATATTCATGGTTGCCCCAGGCCAGGTTAGCAGTGTTTTTGGACCTTTTCTTGAAGCTACCGCAAAGCGAAAGTTATATACATGCAATTCCCCAGGAAACACCGGAGAGGTTTGGGATATGTTAGTTTGGGTCCTCACTGCTGCTAGGGGTACGTTTGATTTGGGGAGTGTAGATGCATGATTCAGATGATGCATCACCATAAACCGCACTGCACCACATCCCAATGGTTTGTGTATGAAGTGAAGTAGAGACCTCCTAGCTCGACCCGCTGGAAGGAACATAGACCAGTCTATCAAAATACACGCCGATTGAGTAGTTGATATCCCCTGGGATCCTCCGGATCAAAGCCAGCGTCTAGAACCCTCCCGTGCAAGTTTCATGAGCTACAATCTTGCTGAAGGAATTTCCACGGTGGGGTCCATCTTTTTCCATTGTCATGGGGTCATATGGGGTCAAGACCTGAAGGGCAGTGTGAAACACTCTCCCAGTATGCAGGAAACTTAGGATCCCATCCTTTTTGTTGGCACAAAACGCAAGGGAGGCCAAACACAGGCGCCCGTGAATTTGACCATATTTGACCCCACAACAAACTTGTGCGAATGAAGCGCAATGACATAGGGTGTGACATGGTGCCAGATTTCCCCATGTTCCTGGCAAGAGAAGACAGGACGATGGATTTAAAAAAGGGTGGAGATGGCTCTTGCTGGTCAGATGGATTTGCTGGCTCAGATTGACTCTGTTTTTGTGGAAAGGAGAGGAAAGGTAAACCAGAGAATTGCTGATGAGGATTGACTCCTAATGTATTACGCACGAAACAGGTCTTTGCTGTAGTTTCTTGATAGGAAGTGATTGGATGCAATATAAGACACGTTCCCTTTCCGTTGCTCTCGCTGATGTGGTGTTGCTCTCCTCTCACAGCATCAAGGGCAGCTTCGACCTGCCCTCAATTCGCAAAGGGTAAAAGTCAGTAGAAGGTAGAGGCGTACCCCGCTGCTGCGAAAGGGCAACCACAGGCCATGGGAAACGGGAAGTTGAGCGGATCCGGGAGACCATGATGAAAATCAGACTCAGATAGCCTCAAGCTAGTTTTTAAAATTGTTGATAGGATGTGATAGGCCATGATAGGCCTAAAGGCATCGAGAGACTTATAGACTTATAGATCTTCAATTGATCCCATCAACTGCATCCTGCGACTTCAGTGAATGGCAGATGATCCTTTTTTCTTGGGCGGACCGAATCCGGCAAGCAACATATGAAGCCGCCAATCTGCCTTCTACTCGAAGTGATCGGCCTTCCAAGCGAAGTGATTGGGCGCGGAAGCGAAGCATCCATTGAGTCGTCCAAGGCCCAGTGGCAAGCGGGGAGACCATGATGGACAAGCATTTCTTCGTGAACGGTCGGCCTGCCACAGAGGCCCGCCGAAGAAGCACAGATGTTCGTCGGCAACAGGACAGAGGTGTGGTCCCAAAACGACAGTCGTCGTCCATCGTTAAGTTTATCGGAATGAATTCTGGACAGGACAACCACTAGCTTAGAGGGTGCCTTGAAACCAATCTTGCTTAGTCCAGATTGTAGTTGTAAAAGGGCTGTTCATGTGTTATTAACGTAGTAGCAGGAAGCTACTAGGCTACTAGTAACAAGGCACCATACTACTAGTAACAAGAAGCTACTAGCAAGAAGCTACTAGTAACAAGAGTGTTTAACCTTGTTGATTGCTTAACGACCTGGACCATGCACGGCCCCTTGGTCGTTCCGACAAGGGTTCCAACATTGACCGGAGGCGGAGGCTGGCTTCGCAGTTGGAGCCTGAAACGGACCCAGTGGTCACGGGTGGACGACGGCACGGCCGTTTCGAAGGGAGACAGAGAAGTTGAGGATGCGGAATGATTGGAAGGATTTGAATCAAGTCAAGTTTTTGTTTTGGAGTTTTACAATGTTTGATATACTCAAGCCTTTTGTCAGCAGCGTAAATAATGTTCAGGTGATGTATATACATCTTTATGATTTCTTTATGTGCAGAGAAACTGACTTGAGCAGGGTCTACGTCCGCAAGAGGATCATGTTCAGTTGATCTTTGGCCCGCCCAGTGCAGATGGTTATTATATATAATATATTTCTTGTTTTTTTCGGTTTGTACGAAGATTTTGGATGGCCTATTTTTGCCGACTCGTCCGCAAGAGCGTGATACTTGTAATATATATATATGTGCTGAGTTTGAGCGGTCCTCGATGTCGTTTTGGCTCATTAGGGTCATTAGAGTGTTTGAAACAAAAATGAGAGATTGGTTCAATATATGACTGGATGCCATGTATTTATATTCAGTTACTGTATGTTACTGTATAGTTGCCCTCCAAAAAAGGTGGGAGGACGCTGTCTCATGATCAATCCCAAAATGCTCCATATACTCAACCTGTAGATCAAACGACCCTTGAACAACTCAAGCCATCCCGAGCGGAGAACATCCTCCGATCGAACTCCATGTCAGTGGACGTTTGGGAGCGAAATCCTTCCCCCAAACAAGTCACATCCCACGAACATTTAGATCGTTATATAGGTGGTCAGTCCCAAGGTAGTTTCACCTTAACTGAAAAAAGATAAACATCCAACCACCAAAAAGGACTGACAAATCCAGTGGAACAGAGTTCCTTGGACCACTCCGAGAAGCCGCTTGGACCACTCCGCTGGCGAGTTTTGCCGGGCCAATAGGCCCGGCGTATGGACCGCTGAGCGCATGGAAGAGATCTCTCCCCCTGCTTCGACCAAGTCGAAATATGCCTCCTTCAGCCCAACCAAGCGGGAAGAAGATCAAACCAAGGAACCTTGCCGACAAATCGGTTCACGTTGGCCAAACGGTTTGGGACCGACGCTGAGGATGAAACATAATGGCAAACCAGAAAGCCAAACGTTGCAGTTGCTGTGCCTCTTTTGTGGAAGTTATCGTCTCAACCATTCTCAACCCAACGACCAAAACAGGTTTTCACACGTTGAACCGGCGGGTTTTCGTGAAACACACGAGGTTGGCACAGTGGAAATTACCTTCCTGGATCCGGCGTCACAAAAGCTGTCCAACAAGGAGGTGTTTTTGGATCCTGACTCCTGGTCTCGCAAGCATAATGAGATGCGATTTCTCATCAGCGCAGACCTGGTGAATCTGGTGTCTGAGTCACATGCAGCGCGTCAGGCGCGCTTCAGGAGCTTTGGCATGCTTTAATGTTGGACTGAAGGGTGAATTTGGAGTGGTTCATCATTTGTTGTCCACTGTGTGTCAAAAGTGAGCAGGGCTATATTGAATATATGTAGAGAGAGAGGGAGAGATCAATTCACACTGAAGAAAGTCGGCGAACACTATGGCCGTGCATCGCAACTTCGTCGTAATACGTCTTTTGCCAATGGTCACGGTGTTTTAGAGATGAATGGACTCCAGTTCCTATGTTTGTCATGGCTTTCCTCGTCACATGTACATTTACATCATTTACAGTGAAGACTGAATATTCAGCATGTGTTCCAGGACACCGCCGCTAATTACTATATGTGCATGTTTGCAAAGGTGTTCTGATTGGAAACAGCCATACCGCGATACCATCAGCTTGCTTGGATTCCCTTAGCTGTTTGTCACTGAGTAACACCAAAGCTTTCACAGCACTGATTGCCATTTCTGGTGGTACTGTACCGGGGTCATTTGTATTGCAGGTCATGACCGAGGGGTGTCGTTTTTTTCCGTCCCAGGAAGGCCAAGAAACGCTTGGAGCAGGCACGCTTAGCTTTTCTCATCGACCTTTGGAAGCTGCGTGGGCTCGTGGAGCGCCTGACCCGGGCAGTGGAAGAGCTGCTCGGGGAAGCGGCTGCCAGCTTTGTCAACGAGCCGTGTCAAATCCATTTCTTCGTGCCCCGGGATGGTGTGGAGAAATTCATTTGCGACGTATTTTTAACAATCTGTTAACCGTTGGTTCAGCCTGCGGGGCCATCATTTGCTTTGGGATTTGTAAGACTTCGTAAAATGCTGACACGACCTTTTGCTTGAAAAGGACAGAACTTCACAGGCCAGATCGATCATGCATCACCCCACCCAAAAAGCTTCCAATGCATGGCAAACAATGATAGTAGATGTCAACATGCACAACAAAACGATGGGCAATTGATCCAGCAGCTGCTTGGCCTGATTGCTGGATGTTGACCCACCAAATGATTCATGAGTCTCGCATGATGCCTTCGTGGCCTTCACACGAACCACACGAACGCCCGCAGACCCCCTGGCCATGGCAGACCGGTCCGACCGGGGCCAGGTGCCTGAACTGTACTTCGATGATCACACTTTGGAGTGCTTGAGACGTGCTAGCGATGTTTTCCTGAAGCATTTGCTTGAAGAGATGCATGAACTTCAGGAACGCCTTGCGGCCAGGCTGAGCTTGGGGAACGTTGCGGGTTTGTTGCGGGTTTGTTGATGAACAGGCTGAGTTGGGATGATTCTTATAGCACATGGACAACAACTCAAAAATTCACGATGTGAGATGGGGTCAACGTGCTTTTTAAATACAATAGGATGATGGAAGGAGTACACATACTGTACTAGTATGTGGCTTGCCGAACACGCTTCTCAGAGCACGATAGGGGACATCCTACTTTTTCACAAGCACATGTGGACCACAGCGCCAATTCAGGGTGTGCTTTTCAAGCTCAGGCTGTATGGTTGTGTAAGCAAACATTCAAGACTTGAGAAGAAACCTTTGGGTGATATATATATATAGACCCCCCACAAAATAGCAAAGTATAGCTGTATAGCTCCTCACTATATATGATGATGTATTGGACACGGTTTCTATCTATTTAGGGACCACTATATTCCTTATTATTTGCCTTTTGCATAAGTTTGCGCAGCAGCTTTCGGGGACGTACTTACAATTGTGACATGGGGCACCGTTTTTTGTCTTTGGGTTTGTGCTTTTGGGAGGAGGGAATGATGCTGTCGTTCAACAGATGTTTTGCGATGCCCCAGTAGAGTGAGGGGGGCCAGTGTTTCTTTGTCATACTGATACTGTACAGTCATTCATGTGTTCTTGTCAAATGATTTTTGGGGGGAATTGGGAACCAACATGTTGGCCGTTGGACCAGCACGTGTTCGACCATGGATCCTTGGTGTCATGCACCACACACATATCAGAGATAGGCGAAAAGATTGACCAACTTTGAGAGCGGATTGGTGATTCAGATGGATGGATATACTCATCGGCTCATTGGTCAGTTTGTGTTCAAATGAGTAGTATCTTGAATTGAAACCACCTCAGGAAAAGAAGCGAACAAAGCCCTTTGTTGGGTGCCCATGTTCTATAAATTTGGATACACCTTTCAGACTCACCACCTGTTCTCTGAGGATTTACTGGGTGGAAAGAACTGGCGAAACTTATTGGCCTATGCCCTGAAGTTTATGACCACAGCAGAGATTCCTGGATTTCAGAGACATGCTGCAGTTCCACCATCAGAGTAGGTCATTCTCGATCAAAGCCTAATCAAGGGAACTGATTGTCAAATCAACTTCTTATAGCTCCGTAACGTTCAATTCTGTATATGTTGTTTCTTTACCCAACGGAGGGTCGGAACTGGGCTTCCTGTGTGCTCATTTGCCGAGGATTGGGTCCATCCTGATGGATGCTTGGATTTGCCACACCATGGGTCAAACATGTGTGGTCTCTATGACAACATTCTAAACCCACTTATAAGGGGATACAATATAAGGGGGTTCAAATATGTTCAAATGTGCCAGATGTTTGACCCAGGACTTTTTCTTGGTGTGTTTTTGTCGACCAAACCCAGCTGCTTCCCTCCCGGATCTGACCGGTGTTTGGCCCCTCCGACCTTCCTTCGTTTTTCCACGTGGACTCCACCAAGGATGGCATCCCGAATCCCAAGACCCGAAGGACGGTGGAAAATGCCATCACCCGGGGCCTTTGGGATCAGATGGATGACATACAGCCCGTCGTCGAAGAACTGGAGATCGAAATGGAAGACTACAACGCAACCTGCACACACGAAATGTGGATGTCAGTAGCAGACGTGAAGATGCAGTTCCCCTTTTTGGTCAGCAATAAATCCCAGAAGCTTCATGGATATATAAAAATTATGTAGAATATAGATATAGACCTTACAATTGATTATGAAACCACACCTATGTATATATTAATTACAGGTATATGTAATATATGTCATACAAGGAGTGCTTGGCGATAGTGTCCCGCAACAATCGAACAAAAAAAAAGCACCCCTTTTCACGCCGGTCACCCGGGTCATCCTTCCCAACCGCGCCGTGCGGCCAGGCACGTTTTGATTGGGTCCAGGAGGAGATTGCGAGACAGTTGCAGCAGATCAGCAGCTTCAATGAGCGCCACGAGCAGGCCAAGACCAGACTAGAGGCAGAAGTTCCAGATGTGCCAGCAGATTCCGACTCAGAGGCGGGAATACTACGTAGTACCGGGAACTTGTGCGTTTGTTGGTGGGAAGACGCATGGATTCGCAGCCTGTTCAGGCGCTTTTGGTGGCCAAGCATTTTTGGGCTGTGGAAATTGGACATTAAATAATTAGGCGGAAATCGACTGCAGTGATTGTACGGAAGGAATGGATTTTGGGGGCAGATCAGCTTGTTTTCAGACCGAATGAGCTGGTCCAGTGAACTCAGTTTGAATTTTGCTCTCAAAAAAGCAGCAAACCCCAAGTGCAACTGACTATATATATATATACATACATAGAGCTTTCAACAACCTTGTATGTTTGTGCTGGAGAGTGTGTTTTGCTGTTGTTTGAGGTACCTGAGGAAGAGGAGGAGGAAGAAGAGGAAGAGGAAGAGCACGACTCCGACGATGAGAGTGCCACATCCTCTGCAGATGCTTGATCTTTTGAGGAGCTGTTTCATGCGTAATTTTTTTGTAGGACCTTGTAGGATCATCTAAAACGTGGGCAGGACGGTCATCAACTTGCAAACTTAGGCACCTAGATAGGCACCTATAGGATAGGTATTTGGGAAATTCCGTTGCGCAAGAAACGAGATCAACGAAGTGCCTAGGATTGGGACGAAGAAGAAGAGATTCGAAAGTTTGTAGCTCTGAAAGGACAGGCTCCATCGAAAGCTCAGCTGAAGAAGTTGAAGAAGTCGCACGTACGGGATGCAACTTTGACTATTTGTCAGCTGATAGGATGTACAGTACAGTCGCGAAACCCTTTATGTGATGTGTAGAACACGTTAAAAATACATTGGCCCCACTTGTTCCACCTATATTTACATGTATGTATATTCCAGTTAATCGGGGGCTTTACCGTTTTGAGACACACAGAATAATTGGAGCTGTGTTTTTCTGTGGATACGTGTGGACATATGCTCAGGTGCAGCCAGTCCTCAGTCCTGGTGAAGAGTGGGGTTCATGGTTGCCCTGGCACCAAAACGAGCGTCGAACTGCCATTTCAATAGTGATAGTGGGTTGAGAGTAGATGGCACAAGCCCTAAAAAGGTGGCTTATATGGAGCTCCATTTGTTCAAAACATCTTGAGGTGCCACTGCCATCTATCTACTCTGAAACCAATGCCACTGCCACCTCCTCGAACGAAACGCCCTTCCGGAGTTCGCCCGTGGGCGCATCGCTGCAGAGATGTCCCGTGGGCGCGCGTGCCGAGGCCAAGATCTCCAAGCTGAAGACGGAAAAGGCAAAGAAAGAGCAAGAAGCGGAGGGCACCTCCAAAGCGAAGATCAAGGTCGGCGTATAGATGGCCATTTATATTGGTTGGTTGATGTTGGTTGAGTAGATTTCGACCGGAGGCCCTCCGGTCAGTTGGCCATTGCTCATTTCTCAACCCATTTTTGGATGAAGCGAGTTGGCCAGTGAAACCTCCCAGGAGTTGCTGCAGAGATGGGAGAAGAAGGTCGCTTCAGCGCAGGAGTCCCTGAAGGTGCTGAACTGAATCGAAGCCGAAGAGATCCGAAGGGACATGAGAAACTGGAACTAGAATTCATTTTCCAGTCATCCACTTCTGAAGCCTCAGCGCCAAAGAGGCTATCTTGGATCTTTGAAGGTGCAGTGTTTGAAGTTGGGTTTACCCAGACTCCATGGTTGGAGGCTCCGGAGGTGCTTTTGGGCACCAGAATCTGATCAGTTTGGAGTACTTGGCTATTATTTTCTAAGCCGGATCGGATCGGTTTGTTTGGGCTCTTGAGTTGCTGTACTTAGGTGACTCTGTGTCGCACGTGCGTGTTGGTTCTCTTTGTTTCGCATCTCAGCCCCCAGACGACTGATTGCAGTACGTTCATGTTTGGTGCCTTGGCTGTCAAAGTGTGTTTAATTAAAATCAAGATTTCACAGAAACACGTGGAAGCCCAACATTTCGTTCCTTGCAGTGAGACCTGTCGGACGCTCACGGATGTTCCTTGTTTGCCGTGGTTCAGATTCAAGATGATTCGCAATGGTTCGCACGTTTTGTGTGCAGCATGATGCACATCTAATAAGAAAACGGATGAAAACAGATAGCGGCTACGAACGAAGAAATAATTAGTCCAATTACGACTATTAATTACCAATGCTGTCTAAGCGGCGGTTGAGCCGATCCCTAGTCCAATCCCGTTAAGATCCCACACCTATCCCAACGCCGAATCTTCCGTGGATACTATGTATTTGTTGACTTCATGTCTTATTTAACCAAGTAACTTGCTAGCTGCATCCTACAATGCATCGCTACTAGTAACAAGTGCATTTACTAGTAACAAGAAGCTACGAACGTAGCAAGTGCCTCGCTACTGGTATAGCAAGACACAAGAAAGAAACATCTCGTTCAGTCCGATCCTGCGGTTTCGGGCAGGAACTGGAGCCGTCACTGCAGAAGGCTGAAGACCAAACCGAGGAGGAGATCGATGAGGAGCCTGGGGCGTGGGTTTTTTCGGGGCTCGTGGATGGGATGTGTTGGAAGTTGATGGAAGAAGTGTTCCAGAAAGCCTCAAGGTGAAAGAGCAGCGGATTGAAAGGTAATCCTGGTTGGGAGACGGAAGGCTGGTCTGGCAATCGATTCTACTGCGGCCTCTGAGGCAACATGTTGTTAGGTTCAATGAAGGAATCCTGACGGGGCGTGTCAGACGTGTCACAGGGATCGTGACCCAGTCATGCTTGACGACAAAAAAGCACGACATGAGCTGTTTGGCAAAAATGGATCTGTCGGATCGATTTGCTTTGCGTCCACACGGCAACAAGCCACTCCATTTACAGATTTCAGTGAGGGAGCCAACGAAAGTGAGGATATCCACTGCTGTAACTGGGCCGTGCAATACAACCCCAAGCCACTTCTAGAAAGCAGTACGACCTGTCGAGACCGGTCTCAAAGAAACCTGTTCGACCTGTCGATGTGGATGTAGGAAGCCGGGGGAAGCCTCCCACCACCCAGACACCTCCAGGATTTGCTGCAGCAGAGCAAAGAAGCTGAGAAGCTGGAGCAAGAGGCTGTGAAGCTGACCAAGCAGACGGAGCAGAATCAGCAAAAGGCTCAGACGCTGGAAGTGCAAGTTCAGGAGCTGTTGTCTCTGAACCGTGGAAGGGCCGGAAGGGCTGAAGTAGAGACACGGGCGCAAGAAGGAGGAAAAAGAGCCAATAATGTGTTCTGGGGGTATTGAATTCAACATCAGTGAATCCACGCACCCAAATGGCAGGAACGGTTCACTGTAAACCTGCGCCCGAAGGGCGCAGCAGCGTTGTTACCATGAAGTCCTCAAATAGATTGAAGCAAGTTCCGATCACTAAGGAAACAGACTGTTCGACTGTTCTACTTTTTGTGCATGGTCACTCCATAGGATTGATCGGGGAATTCTTATATCTTGGTGTTTCTCTGAGAGTGGTTTAGAAGGTGCTCTATTTTGCCCGAACATATATAATATATATATATGTACTGAGTACTGTATCATCGGTCTATTTCGTGCTCGGAGTGTGAGGTAGATGTTTGGGTTGTGGTAAGTAGTAGCATGCAGTGACACTAGTAGTCGCTAGTAGCGACACTGTCGATATTGATGATTCATGTCTTCTCCAGATTTTGTAGGTTTCTCAAACTCAGATCCAACGATGGGCTGGGTCTCCGGTGCAGGAGCAAGAGCAGAAGGTGCAAGAAGAGCAAGCAGAGGTAAAAGAACTGGTCCAGGACGTTTCGGAACTCCGCTTGATGGTCAGTCCTTCGATTGAACGACATGTCGCCTGTGTGTATTGGACCTTTGAATCTCGCTTTGGAGATCGAAGTTTAATAGCTTTCTACGCTGAATCTGCTCCCTCGGGAAAGTCTGGGAACTTATTCACAGGGCTTTCTTTGGGCAGTCCCGAACGCCGAAAACGTCCGGTCAGGAAGTCCAAAGCCTTCCGCCGCCGGATCCTCGGGTGGCCCAGCTGCGACTCTTGGGCGAGGAACAGGCGCACCCCGCGGCGAGTTCGCGAATCCGCGGAGCGGGAGCAGAGCTGAGGGGCTCGCAGAGCCTTTTCGCCGAGTGACGTGTTTTTTGATTTTTTCCCAGTGACGTTCGAGGTTCGGGGTCGAAGGAAGCTCCGCCTCTTTCCGATTCCGACGACGGTATAGAATGTATAGAGGGGGCTTTTGAGTTACTATTTTTCGGACATTGTGCATGAAGAAGACATAAGAAGACTATTGTAGAGTTTTTCCAATGTCTTTTCTCATGCAAGCAGCAGGCTCTATTGCTGACCGTAGCAGGACAGGTGGCCGCCTGATTTAGGTCTTGAAGGTTCCATTGGCGATCTTTGCTTTGCCGTGCAGATCTTCGAATGAAGCATGGTTGGCCATCAACTATATGGCACAACACTAGAGTGACTCCTGAATTACCCGATGAGCCCAATAATTCTGCATGGTAGTTATATGTAGTTATCAGTAGGGGAGTTCATGGAGCATCACACTTCCATATTATGCAGTGATATGTGCCATAGTCCTGATTAACTGATTAACTCATTTGTTATATTTGTTGGATTCTGCCAATACCTCTCGGCCGGTGGCATTCCCACATACCCCGTACCAGGTGGAGCTGATGAAAAAGTGCAAGATCGTGGAGGCTCAAAATGTCAAAGTAGCCGGGCGAAATCGGCTGCTGAAGATGGAACTGCGAGAGCTCTACCGAATGCTGAAGATTCCTTGGGAAGATTCTTCTGATGATGAGGACGATGAGGAGGAACAGCCATACTGGTTGCGGAAGAAGTTAGCCGAAAAGACCGCTTCTTCCTCCAAGGGTTTTGACCACCACCATTTCCTGGACGGCGAGGGTGCTGCCAAGCTGCGTCGCTTGAAGAAGAAGTCCAAATCGCAGAAACTCCGTGCAGCGGCCTTGTTGCTGGGGCGGCTTGCGGCCTCCCGGCGGACCCAGGAGCATTCCGGCATTGAGGCGCCAAGCGAAAGCAATGTGTTGCCTTTCAAGGACATGGGGAGCATTCAGGTGCCCGAGGGAGAAGCGATCAAGGTGAAGGTGGATGAGGTCTCCAAGAGTTTACAACTCTTCAAAGACACCTTGGAGCTCCAGCTCAAACATGTGAAGTCCAAAGAGGATTTGGTAGAAGCTCCAGTCCCAAGACTGGACACCGACCGGGCCAGTCCGACCGGGCTGGGCCCCTTCAGCGGTTTGTTTCCCACGCGGATGAAGGGACAGCTCTCCACCGGCGACCGCGGCGACGGAGTCCGCGGAGAGTCGGAGTGGTCGAGCGATGGACGCCTCTCGAGCCATAATTTGCTGCCCGGGGACAGCTCTCCACAGTCGGACGGTGGGCACGGGCGGATGAGGAGGGGTGTGGGAGTGATTACGCGTGGGTGCCAAGGCTTGAAAATGAGCTTCGATCATGATCTGCCACCAGATGTATTTGTGTCATGGGTTCAATATGTCCTTTCAACTACAATCCCACGGCCTGGGTGTGGCCCATGAAACATGTGTGGGACTACCTCAACCCCACGGCTGCAAAAACGGAAACATGGGAAACATGTGTAATAGATGTGCTTCCTTCGTGATCCCACATCTCTTCGGGGTAGTACGTTTCGGAGTTTCTATCAGTCATTTTTTGTACAGCACCAAACAGAAGCACTTTTGTCAAAGAACATGAACAAGCATACAAGCCTACCGTGAACCAACATCGAACTAGACATTGAAAGGACCAACCTCCTTCATGACGTTCAAGGAAGGGCTATTCAAACTTATACACATGAACTACACATTGAAAGGGTCCTTCCTTTGGACAATTCCCTGAAGACACCCTTTGAGACACAGTACAAAATGCGTTCGAAACGGCCTGACACGTCGTTCCGTCAGGTGGAGAGCTCCGTCCCGTCCAAGCCGAGTCCCTCACGCGACCGGGTGCTCCGAGCTCCTCCGTGGGCCGCGGCCGCCCGGGGCACGTGGACTTCGGCTTCCGGCCCGATGGCGCTGGACGCTGAGAGGGGGAATGAGCTAGGTGAGACTGAAAAGGCTTCACAGATTTGGGTGGGTATGAGCAAGGAGAGGAAGGATCGGAAAAACATGTACATTGATACTAGACATCCTCTTAAGTGCAAGAGGTGCTGGAGAATGGAGTCCCTGAAGATCCCTGAAGAACTTTTGGGGTCTTAGCCTAACAGTTAACTTTAGCCAGATGCACTGGCCATTCAGCACGACGTGATTCAGGCCTGATGGAAAAGGATTGGTTGGGTGTTCAGGAGCCCTTTTACCCAGTGATTTGTTTCCGAGCTTGCCATCGGTTCATTTCGATGGTCCCCTAAGATTGGATGATCTCAGACCCAACATTCGGAGTCTGAAAAATGGGGGCCTCGCAGGGCAGACTTCGCTGAAGGGGCTGATGGGGATGAGAATATGAGATCATCAAGAAGGTTTTTGGGTCCCCTCAATGCTTAAGTCTCACCCTGTTGGGCGGTAAGGCTGGAGGCTCAGGAAGTTGGAGACGAGTGTCGTCGCCAGGGGTGTTTGACCATGAAACAAGGAGGACCGACTCCATGGGGGTCTTGCTACAGTGAAGGTGGATGCGGGGGCACAAGAAGATCTCAGAGACATGGTATTGCATCGCCAAATTGTGGTGATTTCACTCAATAAGATTCTGTCAATGGGCTTATCTCGGTTTGCTGGGGGTCGACAATGTGAAAGATCTTCTTCCGAGAAAACAAACACATCGCTGGACTGTCGGACTGTCCAATTGTTGTCCAAACATTCCATCATATTCCATCGCAGTTGCACTTGTGATTTCTTCTGCCTCCCAAGGAGAGGAATCGGTGGAAAGCTGGTCCTTGTTCAAAGTGAACAAAGGCGCCGCACCGAATGAGTCGAACTGTTCGTCGAAGACTGGTGAGACGAACGCCCGGATGCCGCCCGGTGAGACGACGGCACCCAAGTCTTTTGGTGGGAAGCCCGTGACGCAGTCCTCCCGCCGTGACTTGCTTTACTATAATGGCCTCCAACCTAAGAGCGGCCTCCAACCTACCAGCGGCCTCCATCCTGAGACACTCAAATCCTCCCAGAACAAAAACCGACCGGACCGCGAGGACCCGACCGCGATGAAGGTGCATCGCCGGTGCGGCCCACGCGTCACAGCAGCGATGCGCCGGTCCAGCGATGCGCGCGCTTCGACACATGGCCGAAGAGGTGGACCTGGTGACCCAAGCGGGTTAGGACCTAAGAGAGAGGATCAACATGCGGAGTTGGTTTGTGCATTTTTTCTCAGAAGAGACAGTGTTTTCATGGTGTTTTGGACTTCTATGAGGTTCATAAAAGCTTCATCAATCGCCATGTACCTTCCAGACCATGCATGGCGGAGTTGGGCCCGGTCGTAACGGACCCGTGCAGCACTGTGTTGTTAGAGGAATCTTCCTAGGATTCCCTGGTTATCCCTGGTTCACCGATACACCGATATAGTATGATATGGTTCTTTGGGCTTGGTTTTCAGATTTGGGAGTTTTGAAACATTGGACACGAACGGTGTCACACACAATTGGGTCTGAAGGTTGGCGTCCCTTGCGCTATGGAAGGCTTGGGTGGTAGCCCCCAGTTTGCCAGTTTATGCCAGTGCACATGTGTTCTCCAGTCGGTTTGTTTCTGCACCTGTTGTGGAAAGATCATGTCCTCTAATTACCTCCCACAGAGATCTCAGACCTCGCATGTTGACATGTGTTGGCACGAGTTTTCTCCTCCACCTCCTTCGATGGAACCCTCCTTCACAGTAGCCAATGCTGCGCGCCCCGTCGCGGGCGGCAGCATTGGGTCCACAGACTTGCTGAGGCTCCACAAGACACGGCATCCTACTGCGATTTTGGTGAGTATGTGTCTCAACTTCAACGGAGCAAGGAATCTTGGCAAAGTGCTTCCACGCCTGACTTGGCCAAGAGGAGCCGGCCAAAGCTCCCCGACGCTTTGCTTTGGTGGGCAGTCAGTCTGTGTAGTTCTTCATTTCAGTGTTTCTTTCAGTGCAACCTCCTAAGATGTCTTGTTGCGCCTAGGGGCCTGGCCCATGTGATCCAGGTTAGTTTGCCATGCCATGTTCTTTGCAACAAATCGCCCAGGACTTGGTGAAGACCAGTAGCCAACAACTCTTAACTCCATTGGATTGGTCCGGTCGATGGAAGTCCGACCGCCGGAGAGTGAAGCCAGACCGTTTGTGACAGACCGTTTGCGTTTCGTGAGATGGCCAGTGGGATGTGCCATCCAGGGCAGACCCCAAAGCAGGATTCCAGAATCGCCCGACCATTCGTGTAGCTGATTGTCTTGTTTCACACTTGTTTGATCTTGTTTGAGTATATTATCAGATTTATTATCATCTATTATCATGTTAGATCACGTTAGATAGACAGCTGTCATGTAGCGTTCCAAGATATGAATCAATTATATATTTATAATATGTTTAATAGTTGTTTTATTTGATGTCAGATTGTTAGGGGTTGGGGCTACCCTGTGATTATGTGATTAGAGGTCTTGAACCGGCTTTGTTTTTTCTGGATTTGCCCTCAAGGGGCGGTTTCACCGAATCTCATCCCAATGAAAGCCTTCAGTGATTCAGTGATCAAGGTGCTGTTTTTTTGCTAAATCAAAGTCACCCTTTTTTGACAGCTACATGCTGAACATACTGCCTGAAGGGAAGCTGTTGGGCAGGGACACGAAGCAGCCTGATGGCAAAAGCGATCGATGGAGCATGGACATTAATCACCTCAAAAATTGTTTGGGCTGCTTCCTGCAGCAGGTTGGCACTAGCCGCTAGCCTGCAGGAGGGACACCCTCCAAACAAACACAAGTGGGATTGTTATAGTGAGAGTATTGTTGCAACATGTTGCAAGTGAGTTTTGGCCCGTCCTTGACCGGTACCAAATCAGTGGGATTCTCGTTCGTGGTCAGCCACCGAGGGGCATTGATTCAGGCGTGCTTGAAGACTAGAGGCTACAGAGGCTACTTGAAATCTGCAAGGTGAAAGTGGATGGTAGTAAAAAGCATCCATGACATGATCAAAGCAAAGCAGATCAGTGACACAAACAGACCTACAGTATAGTATAGAGATATGGATCATGTGCCCCATGGGCCATGGGCACAGGTCAATTCTTTGCACAATCCGGTATGAGAGTAGGAGAGTAGATGGTGTACATGAATTCATTGAATGCGTAAAGCTCCATGCTAGGCCCTGCACCATTTTATCTCAAAAAAACATCCCACACTTGCCACGTTTGTGAGAAGCTGGGCACTGCCAAGGCGGCCTCAGCCGATTCCAACACCAGCGCCGGAGCCGTGCTCGACACAGGCAGCGGAGCACAGCAGGATGAGAAGCTCTCTCCTAGATGTGATGAACACAAAATGGACTTCTATGGGAAGTTCACTGAAATGATATGTGTATATCATGTTTTTGTGTGGGGCACCTTAGACTTTGTGATTTTGAGACGATCATGTGGCTTCTGGCGAAAAGCCAAGCAATGACTACAAGCACTCAAATTCCTGGTGTGGGATATTTATGTTTGACCCGCACTCGTAGATTTGTTTGTTACCACACAAGGGTATAGCATGGGTGAGGGTTCAACAGCATCCCACCCAAGGTGTACATGCTCTGATCCATGCCATCCTCCACCAGAGATGGTTGTAAGTACACTCCCACTCACCAACATGGAAGTGAAAAACAACTGTTTGTAAAAGAAAGTAGTTGTCCTAAAGGCCATTTTCATCAATTTTCCATTGCCATGTTAGTGAGTCAGAGTGTATATATATAGTTAATTATAGTATGTTATTTTATTTTAGGATGCTTCACCAGGAGAGTGACAGCAAAAAAGTGTCCTTGGGGAGGTTGGATTGAAGCTTCGCAATCGTTCTCATCGTTCTCTCATGTTTAAAGGGAAAAGCTTGCAGGAATATAGGTAGCATGGCATGCGGCATGTGTCTTCAAAACAAACTGTTGAAGATTCACTCTCGAAGTTTTCCAAGAATATGATCCGTACACACCCAGCGGCTGTCTCCGCCAGGGGCGAAGAAGGAGGCTGCTTGTTGCGATCAAATCGCAGGCTGAGGCGCAATTGACCCTAATGCCTTAAATTGTGTAGGCTTTTGTGGAAGTCTAGGTTTAGGCAAGTTGAGCATGCAAAAAGTTCCAAACATGTCCAAGTTGTGACGTCTTTTTGGAGCCGTCCTTTGCAAGTCTGGGAAACTGCCCTGATGCCCCCAGTTTTGATCGAAATTGTTGGATCCCATTGATGATCCAAGTGGGAGGGGAGTATAAAGAGCGTTTCGTCATGACATTCCAAACACCGACTCGTTTTGCAGCGTATAACATTAAGGCTTTTTCTCCCGGATGTTTATCGTCCTATTGATTCAACATCCCCTATTGAATGGAATACGCAGCCGACGTGCAGGCGTGCAACATACAACATCCGTTTCCGGAAGTGCACTGCTTGCACGAACTGCAAGCTGCCGATGTTTAAGTCGCTCCTAGGTCAGACACCTCACATGCCACGAAGAATACCCGAACTCCAAACATTCAGCCAATAGACATTGTATGACATAGCCACGTGTCATCCACAGTCACATCAACTCAATCCAAAACAATGTTTGTTCATTGACATCAGTAATCAACACGCAAGTACTGAGAGAGGGCGAGCGAGAGACATCGCGAAACTGTATGAAACTGTGAGAACAGTTGTGTGCTGCGCCTCGAACATGATCAAAGTACCTTCTCCCTTGCAGACAGTCCTTGGACACACACCTGTGAAAACTCATGTGTGATACAAAGTCAAAGCAGCTCAAGCTACGCATGATCATTGACATCAGAATGTTGGGCGTCCGCGAGCACCTCCACGCACGTGCGTGTTTTGAGTCGCACGTTGAGTCGCACGTGCATGAGTCGGCGTCGGGGGTCCCCAAGACCTCCCAGTAAATTGGGATGAACATCCGCTGGTTTGGGGTTCCCCCTCAGCTTGATGGATACAGCACAGTGGAGTCGAGCGGCCAAAAAAGGCCCACCACCCGAAGTGGACCTGGTCATGGCCAGCTGAGGCTGGATGGGGGTCAGACCCAAGCGAAGTAAGAGCATTTTCCTCTACAAACAAGCGTTTTTCCACGTCCATCTTAGTGAGTCGGAGTGTAACTCTGATCTGAATTCTCACCTGGCTGGCATCCCCAAACCACGATCTCCTCCCCTGAATCCGTTTGAATCCCGGCAATCCGGCGAGGTAGGAAAACCGGGCGAAAGTGAGACTTGCGGGGCTTGAGTTGTTCGACAAATCTTGCTTCACCAAGGTCTTTGGACACCAGAGTTGGGCCGTGTGAAAACCAATAGGCTGATATCAATGGAGATCTTGGATGTACCAATATGCCGAAAGGTCTCCACAAGCAAAGGAGTTGTGGTCCAGGTGTAGCTGCAACATGCCATAATTGAAGAGTCTTCCTGTTCACAAGCTTTGTCCCGGATTGGCAATTTGCACACACCTCCGAATCGTTCAGCACTCGCGGATCGTGCGCTTACCGCGCGGCGGTTGGTAGGTCAAAGCCCCTCCATGTCGCATGTGCCGTCAGGTCACCATGTTGTGTGTTCTTGTAGAGCCATTTTGTAAACGTTTTCTTCCCGTGGTTTGATGCCTTCTAGATGAGACACTTCCCGGAGATGACAAGTTGGCTGATGAGCCTGGGATAGCTATAGGGCGGTTGCCACATCCGACATACATCCCCCTTTTGTGCACCAGCGGAAGATATGGATGAATATGGAACAATCCAAGCTTTTGGATTGTTCCATATTGTTCCATACACACAGCAACTCTTACCCAGCATCGGTGATGAACATAGTTGAAGAATTTGGGGTACCCACCATATGTGACACAGGTACTGATTCTTGACTGAAGGATGACACATCTGCAGTTGTTGTATTGTGTTTACCCATCAACCATTGATTTCCTATGCTTCTCAGAAGCCCAGCCATGCACCGTCACTGTCCGTCGTCAGGTCCACCAGAGGATCCAGCGCCCAGTGCTCCCAGCTTGGGGGAACGCATGGGTGGCTTCCTCTCCAAAGGCCAGTCGGGGCGGGACAGGAGGGCCTCTCCGGGACAGGGCGGACGAAAAAAGACGCCACGAGAAGGTGAGGGTGAGGAAGGTGAGTGCGATGGAGGGTGGTTGGTGGCTTGTTCTCAGGGGTGAGCAGGGATTCCTAAATTTTGGTGGATTGAGTGTTGCAAAGGAGGAGGATTTGGATGTTTCTCAGACTGTGGATAACCTGCATACGGTGATCATACGTATTTCACCCATTGCTTGGGATAGCTCCATTGGGAGATAACCTCAGTTGGGATTTGGTGATGTTTTGTGAAGACTAGCGGCTGATGGCTTGTTCTGGTTTTGATTGCATTCGTCTTCGCAACATGATGCTTGCTGCCGAACTTTGCTGGTGCCTTTGAAGCCCTGAAACCACTGATTGGTCTGGGGAAGGATTCAACATGCTTTTGAAAAGACATGGGCGTATCATTCTGCCTATGCTCTTTTGTTGTGGCTCGGGTGCAACGGTGCTGGTCGATATTTCGCAGGAGACCAGAAGCCAGTTGGCAGCTGAGGATAGATGCAGGCGGGAACAGGGTCGAAGTTCAGTTCCACAGGCTGTTTGGCTCTTGACGGTCCTGATTCGATCCCTCTATGACATGCATTTCCAGGCAAGACCAAATAGTTCTTTTTGGAAGTCTCTTGGGAAGCTTATGGAACAAGGTGGGGGCATGCCGATTGCTGGGCTCTACATGCTTACGCTGCGTCCATTGGATTTAGAAGGAGGCCCAACCGGCCGACCGCCACATATGCTGCTTGATCCTGTTTCCGATGGATTTCGAAGCCCTGAAGAGGTCCTTGAGAGGGATTTGGGGGAAAAAAGCGACGACGTGAGATTCAACCCATTGAATCTGAGCACTTTTGCCCAGGTTTGATATCCTGAGATGTGGGCGTTTGGCGCATTTAAAATGGCCAATCTCACCATGTCTCACCATGACACACCAAGTGGCAAAGACCTGCCGCTCACCGTGCATCCATGCACCGAAACCAGGAATTTGGAATCTCGTTTCACTCCTGCTCGAACGCAATTCTCCCTGGTTTACAGGTCTTTGGTCTCTGCTGGGATCCAAGGGATTTCATTTGGGGCTGATGACGGCCTCCTCGATCATATG